AGTATAAGAAGGAGAATTAGTATAGTCTATTACCCTTAAATCAATAATTAAATAGAATGATAGAATTAGATATTAGAATATTATCTTTAGTCATATATTAATTTATTATAAGATAACTGGGCATAATAATTAGCACTAGCTCAACACATATATAATAATAATGTGTATAGTATTATTAGGATATCACCTACTAAAGCACTAATAAGCTTTTAGGAGGATATTTATGTTAATATTAATCAGAACCCCCTAGATATAGATTCTAATAAGGAAACCTTAGGGACAAAGAAGGATTAAATATTAGTAATTAAATAAGTAACCCAACTATAGGTTAAACATAAAAAACTTTAAAAGCTATTAGAGAAAGCATTGAAGAATTAGTTTAAATATTTTAATAAGAAATATATAGCAATGCAATTTTAAATTAGTGATAAGATAATATTATAAACTATAAACATCTATCCCCTAGGTAGGAAGAAATTAAAGTTTAATTCTAAGTTTATTAGACCCTTTTAAGTACTAGATATATAAAGAATAAATATATATAAGCTAAAAATATTTTTATAATATTAATAGTTATATCTAGTATTTTATATCTTACTACTAGAATTATTTAAGGATATAGTTAGAAATAAAACCCTATCTAATAGTCTTATTATAAATAATATTAGAGAATATAAGGTTAAAGAAATTTATATAGAAAAAGACTCTAAAAAGAATAAAATATATTTTATTAAGTGAGCAGACTACTCTAAAAAAGATTATACATAAGAATCTAAGGAGAATATTAGTGATTATACTATATTTAAAATCTATCTTTAAAATTATAAGACTATTCATGACTTAAAGTAAGAAAGAAAGAGATAAAGGAAAGCTTAATTTATGGTAGTTAAGGATAAATATAGGACTTATTTTATACTATAAACTATTAATAAAGATTATTGGTTATAAGATTTGAAGGGAACTTATACTATATAATTAATAAAGACTTAGCTAATTAATTGTAAAAACTAAAAGAATAGATTATAAAATTAAGAGTCTAAAGACCTAGATATAGATGCCTATCTATAAATAGGCTTAATAAAAGGAAGTAAAGGAGACCCTCTTTCTCTGTTAAAGTTGATAGGATTATCAGCCAAATATATCAACTAGAAATAGGAATAGCAAGAACGAAGCTTCTTTAATAAGGTAGTATGAATTACTATAATTAAATACTTTTTAAGCAGACTAGGTTAAGTCAAGATTATACTTTTATTATTAATTTTAACATTAGAATCTATTTTAATGATATATTTTCTAGATATATAATTTAAAGCCTTGAGTATTTTATTTAATGCATAGCATTAATCACTAAAATCTTCTATTATTAAATCCTGACAGAACTTATTAGCTAAAGTCTTTAGATAATCTAATAGGGACTTAGGACATTATAAATTATCAGTATTAATTATAAAATAAGAAATATTTAATAGTATAGATATTTAAATTAGAGTTATAAATATATATTTATAAGGATACATTTATGCTTAAGTGTTTGATAATATATGTATAACTAAGTTATAGTATTATAATAAGCATGCTGCTGCTTAATATAGTTATAAAGATTTAAAGTAGCCTAGAATTAAAAGCAGGCTAAATATAAAAGCTCATATAAAGATTTAACTGTATATTTTTATACTCTATTAGTATTGAAACCCTGTATATAGAATATTGTTACTCACCTTGCTCTTTGAAGATGTAGGGGGTTAGGAGTTGTTAGATATAGCATTAGGAGTAGGGATTATACTAAGAGACTCAACTAAAGGATCTTTAGGAGTATATAGAAGTTTAGGCTATCTATTTATCTATATTAATATTTACCTGATTTTATGACTTATCTTATATAGCTAACTTACCTATATAGACGATATTTTTATGAGGTATTCTGAATATAAGAATAAATTAAGATTGATAATAGTAAACTACTATTATATTAGTATTTTCTTAAGTATTAGGATGTTGTTCTTAAAGAGAAGGATAGCTAGAGTAGGTTTAAATTATTAGAGTTAAGCACTTTAAGTTAATTATTATACTTAATTATAAGATAATTAAAACTATTTTACTATTATCTTAAACATTAAATTAATATAGAAAAAGTAAGAAATTAATAATATAGGATATACTAAATTTATATTTAATAAAATTTTAATAAAAAAGCATAATATTAAGATAATACTTACTATTAAGGAAGAAGATAAGGCTAAGAAAAAAAAAAAAAAGAAAAAAGAAGTTAGAATAAGAAAGATAAAGATTTATATATATTTACTACTAATATTAATCTTAATTACTTTTTACATATTTAATCTTTTATCTGATGCTTATTATCTACTTTTAATTTCTTTATTAAGAATAAAGATTTTATTATGAAACTTAAACTACTAATTTTATATATTGAACTCTACAAGCCTGTGAAGTTTTAGATTCAGGGATGTACCCTTATAAAGAGGGGGATAGCTATAAGGCAGAATCCTAGATGAAGTTAGGAATAGCTTCAAAGTATAATAGATATATGATCTTGCCTAGCTTCTTACTGTTAATTGGACTAGCGGCTTAGCATACACTGTCTTATAACGGTGGGTGGCCTCAGGCCTTTGTGAAGCAGCGATTAGCTGCTGAGCATACGTGTATATACGTTCTATATTCGAATCTATTCCTAGGCCGAAGCCGAATCCCAGCTACGTTCTTGCAACCCCCGTCACATATAATTAATCTTTATCTTATTCTTTATAAGTGTACTCTATTAATTAAATAGTTTTTAGCTTAGCCTTTTAACTATAGTTAATATTTTCTATTAATTAGTATCTTTAAAGTCATAATAGTAATTATATTTTATGAAATAGTGTTTAAATTAAAGCTTAAAAAATTCTAATTTCTTTATACTAATACTATTATATTTTTTTTTAAATACTAGTTTTAGTTATTTTAGAAAAATAACTTTTATAAATACTTATAGTTTTTTTTAACTTAATAGCTCTTTTTTAATTATTATTTTAATATTAATTACTTCTCACTCTTTTCTTTTTTTCCCTAAATTAAAGTGATTTAAATCTTCCTATATATTAAAGTTCTATATTAGTAAGTTTATTAATAATAAATATAATAATTATTACTCTAGCTTCTTAAATTTTTAAAATATAGTTTAGACTATAATTCTTTAATATTATATCTTTATAGCTTTAGCTACTCTAACTTTAAATTTAATAAGTTTATTTATTATTATTACTATAAAATCTTTCTTTAAATATTTTATTAATAATTTTAATAAAATTATAGATACTAAAGCCTTATTCTAAGTTTCTATAATTATTAGCTTTATAGCTATAGTCTTAGTGTTTATTTTACTAATTATTATTAAAAATATATTAGTTTTATTTTTCTCTTTATTATCTAATTCTATTTTTATAACTCTTACTTCTTCTTTTTTTATTAGAATCTTTTTAATATTTAAAAGATATTTAACTAAAAATAACAGTTCCTTAAAAGCTTATCCTTAAATATATAAAAAGATATATTTTAGAATTATTCTAGATAATAATTACTAGACCCTTACAAAGTAAGTAATTAGATTATAATAGAGATTACAAGAATATAGCTAGGATTTGGCTTTAGCCTAGAGATAGATTTAAATATATAATATATATATATATATGCTCAGCAGCTAATCGCTGCTTTATAAAGGCCTAAGGCCACCTGTAGTTATAAGGCAGTATATGTCAAGCCGCTAGTCTAATTAGTAGCAGGAAGCCGGGCGAGGTCATGTGCCCACTGTACTTTGAAGCTATTCCCAACTCCATCCAGGATTCCGCCTTACAGAATATATGCCCTAGATTTGTAATTCTTCCCTTATATTCTTACTCGCATGCCTTAAAGTATTATTCTATATTAATCAAAGATATTAAAATTAAGATTATTATTAATTTAAATATATATATCTATCAATTATAGGCACTATTTACTTATAATAGCTTTATAATTTAATAAAGCCTCATTTCTTCTTCTAAAATAGATATAGGTCTTTAATATTACCATAAAATGAAGTTTAAAATATCTATCTATATTTCTAGGCTGGATTTTTATATAGATATATAGAATCTAGCTCTTTATTAGCTTTTTTAATAATCTAGATTCTTATATAGAAGCCTAATATAATCTATATCTTATTAGTCTAAAGGATTTAATTTTATTGTTTAATTAACTAATTAATATACTTAAAAGCCTATACTAAATGTATATATTTATGTTTATTTAATAAAGGAGACTTCCATAAAGCTTTATAATATATATATCCTCGTTTTTTAAGCACTTAAGCTAATACTATAGCTCCAACTAGAAGTTCAAGCTTATATACTATCTTATAATAAGATATATAGTATATATATTTAGAGAAGCTTATTTATTTAATAATTAAATTAACTTTAGCTTTAGATAGCTTAAGATTAATGTTATAAGCTTTTTTTAGTATAGTATATTGAGTTTAGCATATATATTGAACTTAGTTATATATAATATAAAGCTGTGAAGTAATCTGTAGATAGGTAAAATTAGTATCTTAGAGAGTTAATATATAGATCTGATTATCCCTAGTAAGTTATTTTAAATATAATTTTAGTTCTAGAGCTATAGTAGGCTCTGGGGTAATAAGTATATTGTTGATTAATTAATTAGAGCGCGTCCCAGAGCGCGGATTCTTAAGGTGTAGTAATAACTAATATAGGCAGGCGGTAAGTATAACTTTGTTGACTGCCTACACCCCTGCAAGGCCCACCATACTAGGCAAATCACCGGGGTCAACCGTAGTATGTAGTGATGTGCCGCCCATTCTCGTAAACGACATACCCGTGTCTATAGTACAGTCAAGCGAAGCATGGATAGGACAACAAGCTCAAGCCAAGAAAATTCAATCTTGATTTGACGCATTTGAATATCATTTTGGTAACATGGATGCACAAGATAGGCCAGGAACCCTACAGAATTTCCGAAATAGTGTGGCGGATAGTATCTCTATCGGCAGGACCAATATGGATATTGAATGTGTTGTGCAATGCAGATACACGCTCCTCATCAGAGTTGAAAATCTGTATCACCTCAGAAGTAGCACCTATCCGGCGTTTTAACGAGTTATTGAACAACGTTAGGTCCCCCACAACGTTTTCACCACCCTCATCTAGGAGCATGCGAACACACACCACATGAAAAGTAAACCAGCTGTCTCGGCTAGTACTCATATAGTAATTCATCATGGTGAAGTCTTCTGGAAGAAATTCGGTTTCCGTGAAGCAATAAGCTTGGATCCAGTCTGCACTCCCATTTCGAATTTCGTATTGCCAAAGGTGTTGTTCCTGGTTCTTGTTGGTATGTTGGGGGATTGGTCCATAGCGCAGGCGCCCAGACTGGTCACCCACATTGTGGAACTCGACGTCCCGAGTTAATGGTATAGGCTGATGCGGTCCATTTGAACCAAAGCCGACGTCTATCAGATACTTTTGTTCTCCAATGGTAACTAGGTTGACCATGTGGTTCCTGCGAGGAGACTCATTAGTGATGATCCTCCAGGGGACAATTGGCATAGATCCCATGGAAGAGCTAGAAGACTAAGTCCTTCAAAGCTTTCGTGCAAGGGACTGAGTAGTGGTCAATCGTACCATCCATCATATTTAGGACCCCTCCAGTTTTTCGAGGCCGACATTGGTTGTGCAGCTTCATTAACTCTTCCTCCGACAGAGGTGACCTGGTATCCTAGGCTTCGCAAGACGGTTCCGAAAAGCGTACTGTTCTCCATGCAGTACCCTCCTCGCTCGGAATCGCTGTCAACAATCTTCTCGATAAGCTTTTGCGGATCTATAGAAACAGAGCGTTGTACCGAGTAATGCAAGTTGAGATTTTCAAATGGCACCGCTGCCACCTGATACCGCTCGAGTACCTTCAAGAAGGATAGGGCGGCCTCATTGTCACTGTTTGCACTGTTCTGAAGGATTGGGGATTGCCGATACTTCTCAGGAAGTTTTATTCGGTCGAAGTATCTGTCCAACTGCTCCGGGGAGTATGTGGGACGCTGAGACCAATCAACTGTATAGCCCATCTTTTAAGGTTGCTGGAATCAAGCACCTGCGCAGGCTCAAAGGATGGAACAAACGTGGGTGAAACAGTTTCGTGAAGGAAGGAGATTATTCAACACAAAGATGTTGACGAGCACGGAAGATAGATAGAAATAACTGCGACAAAGGCAAAGGACTCGGAAGGGGTTAGAAAAGCTCTGGAAGTCCGACTGCAGATTTCGCAATGTTACCGACAGCCGATAAGGTACTCTCAAAGACGTATAGGGGAATGCATGAATTATCGAAGGGACTATCCCTGTCTCCGCTCTTCCCTCGATTCTCGTCCCCAGTTGGTCTTTCATACCTGCTATCAACTGTATCAAGCTACTGACTCGGGCTGCTTGCCCAATTGGCTGACAATAAACCAGATACCATTTTTTGGAGATGGCATAAATACCTATCGGGGCTGTAACGTAATTCGGACCTGCTCCGGCTGCTCCGGGACGGCTGGTGACCATAGTATCGCTTTGTACAAGGTATGCAGTACTTAGGGTGCGCCTTGATACGGAGGCCAGGTCCGTATTGGGCATGTGGAAGTGAGTTTGGCCGTCTGATAGATGGAAATCCTTGTAAAGGCCCACCGTACTGTCTAAGACTCTACATTAGTTTAATATTAGATTTTCGGTCTAATCTTAAGACTTAAGTACAGAGTAGGCCATCCGGGGTCTAGGAAAACTCGAGCCGTCAAACTAACACCTATATAAGGAGCATATTATAGGTAGCATCTCACTCAACACCAAAAGCATCAATACATTATGTGCTTGCTCGTTATCCTATAAGAACTTCAGAGATTTATATGTACACATGAAAAACATTTGATATAAATCCGAACCAGTTTACAGAACTTTCCCTTCTTCTGATGACAAGTCTAATAGGGAGACGCAATACAGCAATCCTAAGGCATCCCTGTCGATTAATACATTAATGAAGAGCAAAGTCTTCTCGTGGCGGGTTATTAGCTCTATATGCATGGCCTAGCGCAATGAACCGCCTTTCTACCCATGTCTCCTTCTGTTGCAACGTACTTTTCGAGACTCTTAGATAGTGGTTAATTAGTTTGCTTTTCAGTGAATTAATAAATTTAGATTGTATTGCAGCTAGACTCGGTTCTGGGACCCCTCTCCATGCATAATCCTGGTTTATCTTCGCAATCGCACCATATGTTGCCATGAGGATCAGAGACCGCCTCAAATCATCAAACAGAATATTGGACCCATCTGTAGCGTGTCTAATAAGCGTTACCTCTCTTTCTTTTCTTTTCCTTTGGCTCTTCAACCCCTCTCTACTCTATTGATTCTCTCTTCACTCTCATGGTGCTATAGATTTGGCTGTAATATCCATCTCTGCAAGGGAAAGATGGCCTTCAAAAATGGCAGTCTAGCAGTTCGGGAGCTGAGCTCCCAGCGCTACAAGGACCGCGATGATGAGGATTTGGCCAGGGCTGGCAAGAAGCAGTACCTTGAGGTGAGTTGCTTCCGACAAGTCTTGAATATGATTGGAAGTTAACCAGGATAGCGAAACTTCGGCTTCTTGTCGATGTTGGGGTTCACCACAACGATGATGTGTACGTGGGAGGCGGTGCTCTTGTAAGCCTGAGTATGCCCACCTCGTGTATTCAGCACACTCATTAATTATGCTAGTTGTAATGAAATTGCAATGGCTGATGGAGGTCCCGCAACTCTCGTCTATGGATTTATCTTTTGTTGGCTGGGTGCTTTAGTGACAGCAGCTTCCCTGGCCGAGATGGCCTCGATGTACCATGACCCATATCCTTGAGCACATAGTCTGCTTCATACTAACACAGTCCAGGACTCCCACCTCCTCCGGTCAATATCACTGGGTAGCGATGCTAGCCCCCAAGAGTCAGGCTGTATTCCTGAGTTGGGTGACTGGCTGGCTGGACCTGATCGGATGGTGGGCTAACACTGCCGTCGGTGTTTACTTCGGTGCAACTGTTACCCAGGGTCTTCTTGTTCTGAATTATCCCAACTACGACTATCAGAGGTGGGAGGGAACGTTGCTGTGTTTTGCCTGGCTACTTTTATGTGTGCTCGTCAATTCCGTCGGGGCGAAGATTCTTCCCAAGATAGAAGGTCTTATTTTGATCCTTCACATCATGGGGTTCTTTGCCGTTCTGATTCCTCTTACCTACATGGCACCTCACAAGAATGCTTCTTATGTTTTTGCTACATTTTCGAATGATTCCGGGTGGTCTAGCTCCGGATTGACGTGGTTGATTGGTCTGATGGGAACCAATCTGCCATTTATCGGTATGATATCTCTCTCACGACTCCCAATGACCCATACAATTTTACCTAACGATGCCTATCAGGATACGACGGCCCCTGCCACATGGGTAAGAACGAATGCTGTCGCTTCAGAGTTCTATTTCACACTAACGCTACGCCACTCTTATAGCCGAGGAAGTCGTCAACGCCTCCATCGCTGTACCCTGGTGTATGATCGGCACAATCTTGCTAAACGGTTCCCTTGGATTTGCCATTGTTGTCGCCTTCCTATTTTGCATCGGCGATGTCGACCAAGCCCTCAACACCGATACTGGGTACAGTTATATCGAAGTCTTTTACGCCGCCACGAAATCACACGTAGGAGCCTCCGTGATGGCTGCCATCCCAGCGGCGCTCGTTATCTGTGCATCCTTCGGTTTCCTGGCTTCATCTTCCCGGCTCACCTGGGCATTTGCGCGAGACAAAGGTGTTCCGTTCTCGGACTTCCTCTCTCACGTTTCTCGTGTATGAATTATCCCATCTCCGCATTCAAATAATAACAGCCACTAACTAGAAACCTCTATCTCCAGCTGGAAATCACCGGTTCCTCCCTCCCTCTCCGCGCCGTTATTCTCTGCGCCGTTATCACAGGCATTATCTGTATCATCAACATCCCCTCCAGTGCTGCATTCAACGCCATGATCTCGTTGACTACCGCTGGTCTTTTCGCCTCATACGAGATTGCTATCGTGCTAATGCTCTTGAAGAAGATAAAGGGAGAGCATGTCAAGTACGGTCCCTGGACTCTTGGCCGATGGGGGATCCCTATCAATATTGCATCAATTTCCTTCCTTACTATCGCAATATTCTTCTCGTTCTTTCCCCAGGGACTGCCCGTCACTGCAGTTAACATGAACTGGTCGATTGTCGTATTTTCTGGCGAGTTCTTCCTTGGCCTCTGTTGGTATCTAGTCCGTGGAAGGAAGATCTATAATGGACCTATTATTGAGGCCGATGTGGTAGGCATGGAAGAACAGTATACTGTGTCCTCTTGAGATTAGATATCTGTGGCTACATAAGTGTCACGGGCTATTGTACGTAATATACTCATCTTGACATTCGTCGGGTTAACTTTGGCTGGTAAAGAACAAAAAAGTGACTTAATAATCCAAGCCCTGTCTCTCAATATTTTCTACATTAATCTACCATATTACGGCTTTTGAATGCATATTCGTGCGTGGAAGAAGGCTAGACGTTAATCTATTTAAATGTATACTCGCATGTGTCGTGTGCAGCTTCATACCTTGAACTTCTCTTGTCCATCCATTCTGCTTTATTCCTTATGTGTCACGTCTTCATCCCCTACCAGGATTGGTCGTCATAATATACCTGATACACTCAAGCGTGTCTCTTGGTGAAAACCACATCTTGCCGTGGGACACCAGTTGAAAAATGATCTATGATACGAGAGAAGAACTCCTTGCCGTCAAATTTCACCCCCGCAGGAAAGCTTATATCGTAATCTTTGACAGTTCTCGCTACCACAGAACGCAATTCCATCATTGCCACAGTCTTTCCTACACAGTTATAGTGGCCTATATAGTATTAGTAAGTGCTTATAGATTGATATTTGGAGGTTTACTTAGCGAACAAACCTAATGAAAAGGGGAAAAAACCAGTACGGTTCAGAATTAACTCAGGCTGCGTTGTCCAGCGCTCGGGAATAAACTCATCCGGGTCAACGAAGTTACGTTTATCTGCCAATGCCTTAGGTTAGAAGAGAAATGAGGGGGAAATATTCTAGTGGCATTACCGCGTCCCTGTTGATATGGGCCAAGGCATATAATCGTGTCACCTGGAATGTAAACACTTCCAATAGTCAACCCCTCAGGAGGAGTTAAGCGTTGGTTTTGGAATATCACCGACGGATACAAACGCAAGGACTCATTGATAATGCCATCTAGTAAAGGTAGGTGCTTCCCACAGGCGTATGTGTTATTCTCAAATGCTTGGTCAATTTCTTCTCGAAGCTTCACTTGATATTCAGGATTTTCTGCAAGGAGAATAAGCAAAACTGCAAGTGACGATGCGGCGGGATCACTAGAGTTTGTCAGCAAGCAGTGGGAGAAACTGTGAGAACAAGATTCACCTTCCAGCTCCAATGATCATTCGAGCTTCATTATCTAGGAGTTCTCTTCCAATTGCATCCTCTTTTGTATTCTTCAGAAGATGTCCAAGGAGATCCGGTCTCGGGTTGCCAACCTGGTCGAGTTAGCGCAAATTCAAAGACAAGACATTGAACCAAGGTACCTTTTTTCTCCTTTGAACCTCTTCTGCTGCCCATAGATTGAAACCTCCCATAGGACCGTGGTACGTGAAAGTCTCCATAACGGTTAATAAATAAGGAACATGAAGCAGAAGCCCGATAGCTACAACGCCACGCTCAATGGCACCAAATACTCTCTTCGCAACCTCAGTCGACTCCCCTTCGAGAAATCGAGTAGAATTTCCGAATCCCAACGTACTGATGACATCGTAGCTGTAGTGTTTAGTTAGTGCATTTGCTGACACGGGCTGTCCCAGAGATTTGTCTATTTGTGCGTGTAAAACAGTGGTAAATTCTTCGACAATAGGGCCGTAGTCGACCAGTGCTATCATTTAAGATGTTAGTCCCGCCCGCACTTGTGCGTCTGGATAGTGACTCTCACATTCTTTCATGGCAAAGTCCCAAATCTTACGCCTCTCCTTGTGAAAGATTGGGTCGTCCGTCGTGTGAACCGAGTCTGTTAGTTGGGCATAGAAAGGACCCTTCTTAACAGTAGCTTTCAGTCCGTGAACGAGTTGAATTGCAGCGGGGTCAGCTATAGTAATTTCTCGAGGGCCTTTAGCACTAAAATTAGCTTTTGTTTTTCTTTTTTGGCCCTTGAACAATTGTCATGGACTTCGATATACCTGTTCTAACGTAGTCCCCATACTCTTGGTGTAGTCTCTGAGTCACTTGGTAATACCGGGCTTTTGACTTGATTGTCTGCCATACGGCCCAGAATTTCGATAGCCTGGCACCGAAAGGACCAGGAAAGTTTCTAAGCCGGTGGAAAAAGGCGCGGTAAACGAGTATATTGGTAGCAAGGGAGGCTAATGTGGAGCATACGAGACTGAAGGCACGTTGATTAGCCTCCCATAGATTGTACTCGCCATAGCGGTGAATAGCACTCAAAAGCACCCAGTGTGTACCGATGACAATAGTAACCGTTGTGAGGGGGTACAGGTCGATAAACACTCGTCTAAGGATCTGGTGAATTATCACACCAGCTGCTGCTCCAGAAAGAATCAGGTTAGTCACAGTACTCGACAATAAAGTCTGCAGCACAGCCATATTGACAGCAGGGGAGATGAATCAAATGTAATCTAATAATAATGCTTTTTACGACTGTCGAGAGCCTAACCCCATCATTATATACTTTGCTCTTCACACACAAGGGAATTATGCACAAGCACGGAGTGTGGTCTAGATATGCACGCGTAAAAAGTCAAGTTGACTGATGATAAGCTGAAACAAAGTTTTTCAAGACTAATAGACCCATCTATAGCTTGAGTCTCGAAATTCAGGATTGAATTAGTCTTTTCCGGTGAAATGAGAATCACAGTTCACAAGTAAGCACTAATCCGTGCTATATCTTAGCACGGAATCGCCCTATGTATATTGAAAACTTGAAAACTTTCTAGTACACTACATTTCCTACGTAGGGCAATGATCCGACAACACAAATCAGATTGGGTAGAGGACGTGAGAATTCTTTGTATCCTCCCATTTAACAGTGAATGGCATGTTTACGGCATGGCAACCTGTGAACAGAGTATATTGGCAGTATTATCACTGAACTACTATAATTCTGCTACAACCGTTCTATAAAATACAGTCTGTTCACCTGCTATAGTTAAGGGTGAGATACAGAAAGGAAAACTTGTACAACTGATCTCGCATTGCGCATCGATAGATAGCCACTATGTCCACGAGTCTAATGCGTGTCTCATACTCCGTATTACGTACTACACATGAACTCGCTTGACTACAGGATATTCATTGCCCTTGAATCTCTCAGCATAGCAGCGCGAAAATATCCAAGGCCTCAGGGAGGCAAGGCGACAAATCTTGTATTGGAAAAACGCGTCATATCATAATTGCCTTGAGACTGATCAAATACTACCCTACTAATCATCTAGTGTGCACCTTTTTTTTGGTATGTTAGTCATACGTCTGAACAACGAAGATCTTCAAGGCTCTGCTAAAGTGATTCATTCTTCCCTGTAGAACTTAAAAGGTTCTATCATTTGTTGTTTGTGTTTTCGGGGTTATCCCGTCCATGAGAATACTGTTTGCCTTTCCTAGAAAAGTTCTACATCACTAGCTCTATATTTTTGTTTAGGAAGTTCCATTTCTAAATTCCTCCCAACAATCGAATGTACGGAGCACGGAATCGCAAGTGAAACTTGAATCCAAAATGCTAGGTCCTCGCCATAGTAAACTATGCTAGAATACTAAATTCAAGCGGAACTATTAGATCAGTATCTACGGTTACGTTGCAACTGACTGGCAAGAGAGCCTTTTACCACTAGTGGAGAACACTACATAATCGCAGCTAACTTTATTAAAGACTACCTAGATAGTAGTCTTTAGGGCTTATCTTACCATCCACCGTCGCGTGTGGGGCGTCGATCCTCGGAGTATCTTTCCAGACCAAAATCACTATGTAGGCACCACGGAGATTATATCATTATAGAGGACAGGCAGAGCAGATTGAATGGATCTTTATATGATTCATCCAGAATTTGACAACGGGAGCCTTCATTGAAGAGTTTTCTTGCTGACAATTCCGTAGTGATGATTGATGCCGCTAACCACTTGGCTATAGAGTTGCATAGAGACTATCTTTACTAATTAAAAAAGCTTTTTGGTGTCCAGGGTGGCCATGACTCGTGAGTGATACTGCTAGTCTAATGGAGATTGATACCATGGATTAGCTCAAAGCTTCAGACAGACTATTGAGAACCGGATCATCGCTAAGCCGCGCCACCAACGAAAGGTATCTCTGAGGGTTTGTTCAGTAGTGAAATTTCATCAACCATCACGACGACGCATACTTAAAAGTCGGCATTGATGTAACTTTCAGGAAGCTTCATTGCTATAGAGTAGATCCTGCCTACAATAAATTATTCTGAGTTTTAAAATTCAGCTGGACAGTGGAGTAGCGTTGGAAGAACTTGCCTTATATCTAGTCAATATATTCGCACGACGCCTTGGTAATATTTTACTCACCACCCAATAATTCGTGCACAAGACAAAAACCTTCAGCGTACGGCAATCATGGTATCTCAACTTAGTGAGGTCAATAAAGATCCGGAGCATTTGTCTATTCAAGATGCTTGGTTTTATCCAGACGATTTTGACAGCGACTTGAAAGGTGTAGACCTTTCAGACAGGTTCATCCATGAGACTATCAATGCTGCATGGGAGTATGCTAGATGTGTGATTCCCCATTTCACCAATTGGGGTCGATATGTATCCTTTGTCCGTGTACTCGTGATTGCGGTTGTCACCGAGTTTCGTGGCGACCTTATCGATCCTACCAGCGATGAGATACTTGGATACGACGTCCGAGAACTTCTGTATGACCTCTTTGGGGCAACTGTCGGCCATGCAGAGATGGAACGCGAATTTCGGACCTTTCTCCTTTTCACCTCGGAGAAGGCCAGCCATAAACGCACTTCGGACTTTTTCAGACGATACGTGAATGCCCTGGCATCATCACCAAAGAACTGGTTTAGACTACGAGACTGTGACGCACTTGCACGCTTCACTTTGGCTGGTGCACTAGTGTGCAATGATATCGATGACTTTTGGTTTCGTGAAGACGAATTTCAGATCCTCAGCGAGATAGCCGACACCCTCTATGACGCTGTGGCCTTTTACAAGCATCGTGCGGAGGGAGAAACCCACAGTACCTTCGCCTATGTCGACTCCGATTTGCGCAGAGAGAGCTTTCATGAGTGCCGTACGCTTTTGTGGCGCCTCGAAGTTGCATGGGCGCACGCTCCCCAATTTCTATGTGTTCTCAACTTCATTCGATTCTTTGGTGGCCCGATACACATGACAACACGACGATATCGTTTCGTCGATGATGGCCTCACGTTGGGGACCCCCGAGACCGAAGATGTGATAATCCAGACCCGTCAGAATTACAAGCTTTGGAACCGAGTAGATCTTGATATAGATAGACCAGAGCGCAAGGAAGTACAGGACAAATTCTATGCAAAATCCATGTCCCAGAATCAATTCTTGATCGATGGACTTGCCGAGATCCTGGAGAGGGATGATAGTCAACACTGCAACAACTGTTTCTACCGCACCTCGTACGGTGCAGAGTCTCCTGGTCAGTTTGGGGGGGTCAGGCTTTGTGATGACTGTAGAAAGGAGTGGCGGGCTTACATTAAAGCCTTGCCAGCTCGTGCTGAGAAGATCTTTCCTGTGCTTTCCTCTGTGAAGGAGGCCGATATTACTAAATAGCAGGCAGAATCTGCTGAAAGTTTCGGAATGTTGGATGCCGATTAAGGTGTTGTCAAAGGTGTTCGATGTTGGTTAGATTTGGGGCACATTGGTATATTCCTCGTTATGTTCGCTGGTGTATATACAGAGGATGCTTTGCTCCGTGCACTGCAAAGCATCATTTTAGGAGCAAGAAAAATCTTTCCTGGTTCAACGGCGGATTGACTAGGTGGAATGAGTATGCCTTGAAAGTACTGAAGAATATTGGTTAGGGCTGGTTAGAGCTAGCAAAGCTAGCATTAGAGATAGACTTAGGGCTTAAGAGGGATATTCTAGGAGGCTCAGGTTAGACGGGTATGAGGCTCTTTCGAACATATGCATGAGTAATATACCCTGGGTATCCTATAACTAGTATATGCAAGGCATATGCAGTAAGTATATAGAATAACTTTGTCTACACCCGTTCAGCTGTAGGCCCGTGAATTGGATGCTTGACTGTAGATGCTCAGGGAATATATATGGAGCTTTGCCTCTTTGAGAACTCGAAGGCTTCGTTCTATTCAATTTAGATATTTCCTTGCGATGTATCTAGATTCGCTAGACTAATGCCCCTTTTCTCATTCAATAGTAAATATTTATATTTAAATACTCCACCACTCACTCAGTATGGCTGTGTAAGCTATGAATATTATAGCATTTCAAAATGAAGCTATTAATTTTTCCGTAATGACCGCGTACCATTAGCTAGTAAGTGCATTAGTGGGTCTTGCAGAGTATTAGTAACCAATGATGATTGACCTAAATACGAATACAGAGAAATTTCCTTCCTCAGTCAAACAACATTTATTCGACCAGATGGAGGAGCATCCATCCCCCGAAAATAAATCGACTAAACAACGACGATCACATCGCAAATCGCGCACAGGATGTGGAAATTGCAAGAAAAGGCGAGTTAAAGTAAGTCTATTTCAATAGAATGGATAAAGAATAGGAAGAAATGCTTCTGACGGTGCGTGCCCTACAGTGCGATGAGAGAAAACCGATATGTTCCAATTGTATAAATCGTAATATTGATTGCACATTTTCGCGTGATAATACTTCAAGATCAGTGTCCGTACAGCCTCCTGAAACACGCTATCGCTTTCGATCGTACCGAGTTTCGAATGACAAATCTAAAGAGAAGGAAGGACAAGAAGCACCCCATTTCGAGGATCGTCAAGGCGTAGCAACACAATCTGTGGGCGTGCAATGCGATTTTGACTTCTCTTTCGCTCATAGCCAAACTCACAGCCAAACCCATATCTCCTTGGATGACCTACAGCTTTTCCACAATTTCATCGTTTCGACCTGCAACACCATTAGCGAGGACGCAGCTGGTCGTGACCTATGGAAGATCCATGTCGTGCAATGGAGTCTGAGCTTCCACTCTATTCGGCATCTTATTCTTGCTCTCTCCTCGCTTCATTTGAGCCATGAGGTCCCCATCCGGCGAGATGCTTATGTGCAAACAGCGGATGACCATTTTACTTTTGGTCTCCGATCGGTCACAGCCGTGTTGACAGATCCCAGTAGTCGGACTTGCCAGCAAGTATATGTTTCAGCTGTGTTAATCTGCCTTGTTTACTTCGGAAGGGGACCGAAAATCGGTGAATATCTTGTTTTCAGTGACCATGGCCCCGCTGAATGGCGAGTACTGCTGAATGGAGTCCGGCTAATTGTAGAGTCTCACCGCAATGAAGTCTTTACTGGAGTATTAGCTACAAATTCTCAACCTACGGCACACAGTATCAGTCCATTGCTACGCGATGGAATGGACAGCCATCTATTACACGTACGAGAGGTGCGAGATATGGTCGAACGAGAAGCACAATCAGACGACCAGCTCACAATGTTCACCTTGGTCATAGATGACCTAATGTCTGCAGTGGTGGAAGTTAACGCAAAGCTGTCGGCCCAGTGCCCCCCGGTGGGCTTGACGCAAGTTCTGATGGGATGGGTGTACAGATTACCCGACGAGTTCGTTAATCAGCTCGAACAAAAAGAAGCAATTTCTTTGATAGTATTTGCACACTGGGCTGTGTTGCTAAAATACATGCAATCTGTGTGGTTTATGAAAGGCTGGGATAAGCATGTCGTGAAAGGTGTTGGCATTTCTCTCCAAAGTCGATTTCACACATGGATTCAGTGGCCCATGCGTCAGGTGGAGGAAAGTTTTGATTGAGATAGCTGTCCTTGATGCGTGAATAGTTCTTAGGGTAAAATCTTGCGCGCGGAGATTCCAATACCTGGAATGATTACCGACAACAGGAAGATGAACGAAATAAATATTCATTAATAACAATTAGCTAGAAGAGTTGCAGATGATGACTGGGAAGATTGATGAAATAAAGCGCTCTCAGAAACGTAGTTATAGTCATGTCTAAGCGTTATAGTTTTAATACTTCCCCTCAAAATTCTTTTCGGACATCTTCGTATCGTCATATTTTGTTGGCTCTTGTTCCATGTCCACGGAGCCATACTCCTGATCATCATGACTTTGAAAATCCGTATGCTTTCCCGACAACACAACCTTATAATCCCTGACACAATTTCCCTCATCACGAGAAGCCTTGCGAGCCTTCACGCACCATACAATGCGCTGTATAGCTGTCAGCAGCCACAATACCATGTTGAGTAAGCTAATCCAGACAGCAGCACGCATGCGCCCAACTGACAATGTAGTATCCTTGTATTGTTCCTCCACTCGAGGAATATAGATGGAGCCGAAGACTCCTACTTGCGCTAACCAGAGCACGAAAAAATTGCGTCCAGAAACGACCACGCGACATGTGTGGAAGTCATGAAGCAGAATAGGAATAGGATGCAGGTAATTGAAGAGACAGCGGCGACAAATTCGGCATAAATCCATTCTGCATTAGCATGAGCGTGGACTTTGGTGAAATAGGCTAGGTCGACACCATAGAGCCCAGCAATAACGATAGCAAAGATCAATTGAAGCGCACGAAGGGTCCCGGCGAGGGTAATCGCGCTGTAGATTTCAACCAAGTAGCGGTATGAACTGATCGAGGTCGTAGATTGTGTGCGTTCAATCATTATGTTAAGACGTCTGTTCCGTTTTAAAGAAGGTGAAATCGATTGTCGGAAAAGATTGCAAAGGATATTTTTGGAGTTTGCCAGTTTGTAGATTTCAGTCAAGGACAGACTGAGCTTGACTTATATGCTCATCGTATCCCCACTTGACAACTTTTTTACAGGCATCACTTCTATTTCTCCCTAGATTTACGTGAAAATTGTGAAAAGTATCAGGCTTATTATCATGCCATATCCCAGAAAGGCAATATTGCCGTATTCGTATTATGGCATCTACTTATCTATCTTTCATGGTAGCCACAGTGGGTCAAGCAGTAAAATTTTCATACTAACACCTGTAGATGCAATCGCTATTATCCCCTAGTATCCATGGTCATTGGCCTTCTAAATATAGATTTGGATAAAGGCACTTATGTTTTTTTCCCTTTTGCGAACTAAAACAGTTGAAGTGAACTATGTATGAGCTATGAAGGATTTTATACACCAATAGGCTGTCAGTGATCCGCTCGATCTACTACTGACATGCTGCCTAGTGCAAATAACGATACCGAATAATAATGAGCATACCGCTACAAGTCTACTTATCAAAATAAGGGCTTGCTAAGTATTCCAGACCCAGTGTAAAAAGCGGATCAAAGGTCATTGTAAAGCCCTTAGACCCTGAGTTGCTCAGCAGAGTGCCACTTTATACCCAATGCAACCAGCCAATATTGATGCTAATTATATTTTCCCGAGAGCCTTACAATTATAGATACTGTTCAGCAAGCATTCTTTCGTACTATCTAGCCTGATTCCTGCGTGGGCCTTAGTATTGGTACAAACAACATCATCAGGAAATGAGATTACACAATTTCATGAAACGCCATTTATACCGAGTTCGTTCCCTCCTATGATTTCAATCATGTCCTGCCAAGTTGCTAGATCAGTCGGGCCTGGGAATGTGAAGGCTCCTGAAACCTGAGGGCTATGTAGCCACATAGTGGTATCCACGTCCCATCCTAGGGCCAGGGACTGGTGTAGATGGGGTTGCAAAGCTTCGGGGCCGGTTGAGAAAATCTGTGTCTGCTGGGGAGATGTAACCGTGGCTGGCTGGGGATTTTCTTCGTGATTGTTGTTTCGCCTATGCGCCTCGCCCCTTGTTGTTCTCAAGCCGCTCCCCCCGGCTTCCAAATTTCCAATGCGGCCGTAAGTCGAGGGTTGTTTGGCTTTGGACGACCTCTTCAGCTTTTCAATGCACATTTCGACTACTTTTACCTCCGCCAAGCGAAAATCATTGATCCACATCTCGTGCTTCTGCTTATCGCAGTACGACTGAAGATCATTGACGACGGCATCAACGTCGCGTGTGCCTCGAGATTGCTCCTGAATTGCAAGCACACCAAGGACAATAGCACTGTTAAATAGCTGTGGCGTACCGAGGCACCAAGCATAGTGCTCAGCAGGCCCACAATTATCGTCATGGTCAAGACGAGTCTTGAGATCGGCGCAGGCGGACGTGAAGCATACATCGCGACTGAATGCGTGTTGATCAGTTATCGATGATCGCCAGATATACGGTCGATGCAAGGTAATTCTTGCGAAATGAAAGGCCGTTTGTAGATAGAGTCGATGCCAACGCAGGTAAGAGCAGTTTGAGTCTAGCGACAGGTCTGGATTCTCGAAGGCCAAATATCCAGGGAGCGCAGATCTCCAAGCAACCAACTGCGCGTCTAATTGCATTACCTGGCGATATGTCGCGGCACGGATGCTAAAAGTCTGCTCTTGGATTCGCCCAATGATCTTCGCGAGGCCAATAGAGAAAATGGCTAGGACGGCAGGAGTTGGGCTCGTCTCGATAGGTTTTGCGGTCACTGTGATCGCTTCTTCATCCGCAAGGTCGTCAAGAAAGACATTCTCTGGGACGCAGGTTAATGACTGTGCATCTAGAATTGAGTATGGTCGTCCGAGGGCAAGGGCGGTCATGCGATCTAGGAGATATACATGTGACCAAAGCCTTCGTCGAGTTTCTATGACGCGGCGAGGAAGCCGCCAGTTTGTGCCATCAATGTGGAATCCTTGGGCTATAGCTAATCGTGCCGCAAAGCCGACTGTAAGCCAGCTCTCGGTAATACGTTGGGAGAATAGACAGTAACGGGTTACCAAGATGCCGGCACGAACCAAATCCGAGCTCTCTCCGTAGAAGGATGGAGCTATGACAATGGCTTTTCTGCTAGCCCAGAAGAAACTGAGCGAGGATTCTTCATACTGCCTCTGTGTCTCGGGAGCCGCGCTGCGTGGGCAGTCTAGATATGCCCCGATGGCTAAAACCATAAACAGCAGTGCTAGCCAACGAATGTCGACCGTCGTCACGTCATCATAGCCCGCCTTTCGGGACCAAAAGCGATCATACTCCCTGCGGAAAGACGACGGATGGACAGCATCCATGTTCCAGCTCACATTTCCTAGGAAAAGATCGACCAGTCTGTCCACCGTGGACTTTTGACGTGGCAGGAGACCGAGTAGATCCCATAACTGAGAAAAAGGCCCCGCTTCATCACGAAAAGGGCGGGCGTTCATGCTTCGTCGCGACGTATTGGCTCCCGGCTGAACATACGGCGCCTGAGAGTCGAGCAGCGCAGCAGCTACCTGCGGTCCAAAGTATGAACTGCCGAAGAATGTCGGTGCGCCGCGTGACTTCCACAGCTGTCCAATTTGGAGACTTTTCTCTTGCGTCTTGCTCACTGGCTCGCTTCTTTCTTCAAACAGGCTTTCGTCCACCGGTTGGTTCTCTCCATCATCTGCCTGGTCATCGGCAACCGTGGCATTTGGTTGCGGTCGCGATGGAGCGGACAGGGGGGTTGTTCTCCCCTGTGGATCCGGAAGGGAATGCTGCCTCCTCCGCTTCGACCGCCCAGAATCTGCAATGTTCGTAGATGGGAGTTGAGATGGCCCCCGTGGTGGGGGAGGCGTGCAGAGATGTGTTACGTTTCGGGAAACACAGTTCTGACACGGTGTAGATCCGTTACACTGTCGCCAGGCGTCAGAGAAGTTCTCCAAAGTGAGAAAGTAGGCTAAGGCTCCCGGTCTCTGCTGAGATTGGAATTGCAATAAGCATTACGAACCTTCTGCTTCCTCGTATGGCACTGCAAACACGCTCTTGCTGTTCGGCCGCGGTTCCGTCGCACCGCCATTTGTAAGGGCCGTTGTCTACTACCGGGCGTGTCAGGGAGTTGCAGCGAGACGTGTTGCTCGGCCATCTCCACAGACCAGCCAGTCACCTTGCAAGTTTGATTGCGTTGTTTTGATCAATGGAATCAACGGCGGTGTTCTTCGGGATAATCGGCATATTGAGCTCCGACGTCATTGCCGCGTCCGCTCTAAGCCTAATTAGGATTAGCCATCGAACGATTGATCGTGAATGCAAATTGACTTTAAGTTCTCAAGAGGCCGAACAGAGTAGCAGATTTTGAAAGTCACATCTCCGAAGAGCTTTACCTGATTCTGCGTAGCGTAATGGACCTCACTACGGCAGCCTATAGGTACGTTAAGGACAAAATGAGCATTTTACATTTCTTACATTTATGCACACAGAAAACACAGATATATGATTAGTCAAAATTACTTATTAATCAGTCAAAAATCTCTAGCTATAAAATATTACTATTAATAAAATAGTAATACACTCATACTAGTAATAATAATCCAGAATAATCTAACTAATCAGAACATTAATTTCCTTTATAAATTATTTAGCAAGAATTACAATTTACATAATTAGAAATCACTCTCTTAATCATCTAATTAATTAGATTACTTAGGATTATTATAGAGTACTTAGAATTACTATATTTTATCTTACTTAAAGCTTTAATTCAGATTCTATTAAGTATTTAAGAATATTCAATATAAAGATTATTAGTAAGCTAAATATAAATTATATTTTAAAAAGTAATAAAAGATATTTTAAAATTATTTCTTTAGTACTATAATCTTATACTTTTTTTATATATTAATAACTAATATATCAAAAATATTATTATTAGTATTATCTAATATTTATTTAGATTAATTATTCTTATTATTATTACTAAGTAATTTAGAAGATAATAAAATATACTTCTTATTATTTATTATCAATTCAGAGATCTTTTATGCTTCTTAGAAGATTAAGTTAACTTTATTTATCTATTTACTAAGAGCCTCTATCCTATTAAATAATACTTTTAAGCCATTATTAGCTAGTATAAATTGTTAAGGACCTAGAATAATAGCCTAGAATAGTCTATATAAATATTATAATCTTTACTTTAAGTGATATTTTAGTAAAGTGGACTTATCTTTAATAAATAATATATTTTCTATAATGTTTAGCTCTTATATATACTTGCATAAGATAATAGATTAATTAAATATTATATTATTATTATAATCCTTAATAATCTCTATATCTTATTTAATCTTATTATCAAGATACTCTTAATATAGCACTAAAAGATATTATAATATCTTAAAATTCTTAATATCTTTATCCAGAAGCAGTAGACTAAGAATTTATTATTTAATAATCTAGTCTTAAGTATATTATTAGATATAATAAGAAGTCTATCTTTCTTATTAAATCTTTTTACTATAAATTAAAGATCATTATATTTATTATAAAGAGTCTAGAGAGATTTATAAATAAAATATTAGAGATCTAGAAGATTAGAGAAACTTTAGAGATATATATATTAGATAATTATTATTTTAAATCTAGGAATATTAGCTTTATAAATATATTAAAATTAACTAATATCTATAGCTATAAATTTATAATAAAATAATTTATTAAATAGATATTATTATCTATTTTCATCCTATATAAGAAAGATAATTATAAATCTTAGGTCTTGTTTTTTTAATATATTATTATTCTTACTATCTATTACTTTAAATTTAATAATTATCTCTTTTCATTTATAATTATACTGCATCAAACTAATATAAAAGTATTAGTTCTTTATTTTCACAGCTTAATAATTTAATATTACTATCTATTAGTATTATTAGACTGTAGGGACATTAAGATTCTAAATATCTTAAGAAGGAGTACTATATCTTACTTTTATAATAGCTCCTAATATATTATTCTCCTTATTATTATTAAAATTAAGATTAATTAGAGGATTAGAATTTATTTAATTATAGTTTCTATAAATATAAAAATAAGGATATCTTTTTATATACTTAATTCTAAATATATTTTAACAGAATCTTATTTAGATTTATATAGATATATTATTAATAATTATCTATTTAAATTAGCAATAACAGATTTCTATTAGTAAATATATATAGAGTAATACTATATTAAAAAATAAAATTTAATATAATTTAATAAAATTTAATATTTAAGTGATAAATTTATTTAAAGCTAATATAGATATTTCTAAGTCTTTAAGTAGTACTAACTAAATATTTATACATATTTCCTATTAAATAGATTACTTAGGATTATTTAGGGTTATTTATAGAATTATTTTATTTTATTTTAATTAAAGCTTTAGATATTAAAAACTAACTTTTAAATTATTTAATAATTATTTATTAAATCTAGAAAAATTTTATCTTATATATTCTCTTCTTTAAATCTTTCTTATTTTATTATTATTATAAAAGTATAATATTTAGACTATTATAATTTAGTTAATTTAAATCTAAGTTAGCCGCCTCTCTAAGAATTTAAATAAATTCTATAAAGAAATACTAAATCTTTTATATACTGGAGAGATAATTAAAAATATTATTAAATATCTATAAGAATAATATAACTATCTAATTAATAATTAAACTATATAATATTATCTTAAGAATTAGAAAATTATATAAAGAATTAGAACTATAAATTATAAAAATCTAGATAATTAGATTATATTATTATTCTTTTAATATAATTTATTAAATAATAAAATATATTATATTCTATAGAAGCAAAATTTTATAATTAGTCTATAAAGTCTTAAAGATTATTATAGACAATTAAGTCTTTATTAATAACTTATTATAAATAATTTAAAGATAGTTAAAATTAATATATAAGAAATAATTTAGAAAGAACTTGATAAAGGTTATATTAAAGAATTTAGATAGAGATATCTCTATACTTATTTTTATAATAACTAATATATAATTTCCTAGTAAGTAATCCTAAATATTAAAAATAAAAGATATTATAAATCTAATTTAAAGATAGAGATTACCTTTTCTAAATTATTATAGAATTAGATCTAGAAAGAATTAGTAAAAAAAAAAATAATTTATAATATTGTCGGAAACTTCGGTTTGATTACTGTCGAGTACAGCTAGGATAGCTATTAACGGGCGAAGTTAATAGGCTTTTAAGATTAAAAGGTCTTGGTAGACAAAAGAAATAAGAATAAGGTTATGAATATCCTGATTAATAGAAGATTATATACTTAAATTATTATAGTTAATTCAAGACAATAGAAGAAAACTAAATATATAATGAATGAGTATTCTTATATAGCTTTCCTCCATTATAATCTTTATAAAAATCCTCTGATTTCTCTAATTTATAGATCATAATTATTATAGAAATCCTCTGATTTCTCTGATGCCTTAACCCTAAGGCTTTATGGGTAATCCTTTATTCTAATGTGTATTAGTCTTATAGTAACTAACCTGATCTATTAGCTATAATGTTTTAATTCTTTAATAATCCCCTTCTCTAAAGGCTGGCATCTTAATAGCTTAATAAATAGCTTATGTTTCTTAAAGTGTAGATAATTAATCCTAACTTCCTAAATATTCTAAATGTACAATTTTGTGGTTTTATGCTAACTATATCTTTAAAAAAAATAATTTTAAGAAACTCTCTTCTTTCATATATTAAACAATTTGGTGTTGCTTATTATTTTCTATATAATTGATATAGTAATCTAAAAAAGACTTATATCAAAGTAGAGTTCTTTAAACATTATAATGAGTGTATTTGTATAAATAATTATCACTGTGTTAATATATCTATGTCTAAAATAGTGTAGAAGTGCCTTTTTAAGGCTTAAGAATATTTTTAAAAAGAAGAAGAATAAGCCCTGGCTAAGATTCTTTATTTATAGAAATAGCAAAAACTATTAAAGAAATAGGTTAAAGAATTTCTTTAAAAGAATATAAAAGATGTTAAAGAGTTAGAGAAATTAAAAAAAATAGAAGAAGAGGTAAAAGTAAAATAAGTAAAAGAATAATAAAAGACTAAAGAGCTTTTAGCTGTTACTTTTACTTTATAAAATGACAATCTCATTCTTAGTACTAACTTTAATCCTTCTATTTTTCTTAATTATACTTCTATCTCCATTCCTAAATCTTCTTAGAGCAATTTAAATATCTAACTAGTTCCCATATATCTTCTTCAGGTCTGTATCCTTTTTATCTTATAAAATAGTAAATATGTCCTTTTTCTAATTTGCATTACAGTGTGACGGCCTAGTACGATTTGGCTTGGCGGCACACGGTTACTGCGGAAGTACCCGCAGGCCGCCTCCCATGGACAAATCATATGCAGGGAAGATATGGGGCTAGATATGCCTTGTAGGGATTACTCTATATTTTAATTTATACTGTAGATTGCTGGAGGATCTATATAATATTAAAAAGAGTAAATAGCCTTTACTAGCCAGTATTCTATATTATTGGAACCTTCTAGAAATCTAGATTACTAGGTATTAGTATATAACAAAGATAGCTTATAGGTATCTAGAATAGAAGGAAGTATAAGTAAAAGAAAAGAGGCTAGTAGTTATTCTTTTCTTTTCTTCTTTTTAATTTAGTCTCTTTATGTTTAGCAATTAAATAGATTTAGTATTATATTATTATATTAGACTAAACTCTTATTTACTTATTAATATTAATCTTTATAAATCTATAAGTAGATTAATATCTTAATTCTAGGTAACTTAATATGCTTAATTTAGGATTACTCTTTTTCTTATCTTATTATTTTTAAACTAAGATCTAGATTCTAGATTTAGAAACTAAGATAGTTTAACTATTTAAGCTAGTATTAGAGAAGCTAGATAAATACTACTTATTATATCTTTTTCTAAAAGTAAAAGATAATAAAGAATAAGAATCTTAAAATATTAAATATAAGATATTTAAGAAATATATAGATAAAAATCTAGTTATGTTATTTAGTTAATTAATATAAGAATAGTATAAGAATCTATACTAAATTAATATATTAAAAAAGTAATAAGAT